ACTCATGAAGTCCAGTTCTGAGGGGAAAAAATACTGATATGTTTTCGGAATTGTTTATGAGTTTATATTGCGCAAAACTGACTTATCTCACAATTGCGAGTTTATATCTCACAATTCTGAAAAAAGTTTGTATCCTGCAATTCTGTCAGAATTGCGAGATGTAAACTCGGAATTGCAAGAAAATAAAAGTCCGAATTGTGAGAAAACGTTGCAATTACATTTTTTTTTTTTATATATATATATATTCAGTGGTGGAAATGGGCTTCCTTACATTTTTAAAGACCAGATAACTTTGAGCAAATGTTATTTTAATGTTCGTACATAACTTGCCCTGTTAGTTTTTCACCGTATATTCCTAATAAGTGACCTTACTCTTAACCAATTCCCAGGCTTCTACTACAGCAATTTGTATAGTCTTTTACCATTAAATGTATACTTTTTTACAGTGAATATTAGGGAGTAAATAGAGTCCATTTGGATTTAATGGTTGTAGTTGTTGTGCATCATTGCTGTCTTCTGCTCCGTCATCTGCTTCCACATCATATGCTGCAGTATGACAGAAAGAACATAAAACGACTGTAAAACTTGATGTGGAACAAACACACACACACACAGAGAGAGAGAGAGAGGAAACATTTGGCCGAATCCAGCTCACAGCTAAAGGTGTTCGTCTGCCAAATCTGTGAGAGCATCTCTGGAGCTCCTCCAGCTCCTCTGGAACATCACAGCGCTTCATTTGTTTACTGGAAGTGTCGCAGGAGTCGGCCATCGCAGCAGAATGCATAAAAACAGCCGTGATTTGTAATGCCTATCCGGCATAAACGCGCAACTCTGGGCTTCTTGGCCAGGAGCCGCCGGCATCGCCCACAATACCGTATGATTGTGAAACGCCTCAGCGCCGTGGCTCTCTGTCTAATTTATTCATCCACTCTATAAGGAAGCCATTTTGCCCAGCAGAGAGAGACTGAGCGTAATTATCCTAATTAGTGCTAATTCAACATGGCTGAGCCCATTTTTGTAACGAGCCCCTCAACCAGAGCTCAGAGGAGGAGGCTCGACGGTCGCCGCCTCCCTTTGTTGCCAAGGTAACCGTTTCCGTGGCGACCCGCTCTTGACAGTGATGGGAAATGAAGAGGGGTTAATTTCACTGTGAAGGGGCACAAATTAAAGCCGAAATGAGAGAGAAATCAAATGCCTCCTGTTTGCAAATGAACTTCTGTCAGACACGGGCAAAAAAAATAAAAAATATGATAATAATGAACAGATCCAGCAGCAAATACAGCTTCAGATCAGATGACAAGCCAACATCACAAACCAAAACAAGTGCACTTTAGCACACTTGAGCAAGAGTACTTGTTATGGAATAATACGCTTAAAGGGATAGTTCACCCAAAAATGCATATTCTGTCATTAATTACTCACCCTCATGTCGTTCCAAACCCATAAGACCTTCGTTCATCTTCATAACACAGATTAAGATATTTTGGATGAAATTCGAGAGCTTTCTGACCCTGCATAGACAGCAAAGGAACTAAAACTTTCAAGGCTCAGAAAGGCAGTAAGGACATCTTTAAAATAGTCCATGTGACATCAGTGTTTCAGCCTTAATTTTATGAAGCTAATAGAATAAATTATTCAATGAAGTCGTTATTTTTGTTTTCTTTGCGCACAAAAAGTATTCTCCTAGCTTCATAACATTACGGTTGAACCACTGATGTCACATGGACTATTTTAAAGTTGTCCTTACTGCCTTTCTGGGCCTTGGACGTTTCAGTTGCTTTATAAAATTACGGTTGAACCACTGAACATACTTAAGTGTGAACTGAACGCAAAGTTGCAGTTAATAGTTTACATTTATATTAAATGCAACTAACTGAACTTTTGAGTTATTTATGAGACATTTTATGAATAGTACTTAAGTCCATCTTTATGTAATTTCATATTTATATTGTCTTTGCAATATGGTAAGTTAAACATACTTAAATGCTATTTCCATTTAAACATGCATGATACCACATATTTAAATATATTTGTAACTGCATATTTATAATGATGAAGTAGTAATTTAGAACATGAAATATAATATCGAATGACACAATGGCAATCAAGTACTTAACATGTACTTTAGTATGTTAGTCAACACATCAAAATCTTCTTTAAAACACCACAAAAGATTATTAAATAGGGGTTTAAATGTATCTTTTAATTTGACATTGTTAGTGGACTTTTGTGTGTTAAAGTGTACTTGAGTGTGTTAACAAACAGTCATGGAAGTGTATTCTCTTAAAGTACACTTAAGTGGCCTTTTATTTAATATTAGGCTATATTATTATCGTAAAGTACCATTTTTAATATATTTTTAAGATCAGAGGTTGTCACGTCACGCTGTTGAGGAAGCACGCAGGAGGCACGAGTAAACGAGAACAGTCTTTAATCAAGGAAACACAGAGGATAATCCACAATAGGCGCTTGAGCCAACACACGTAGACAACAAGTAGAACTGACAAATACAAACTGAACAGACTGGGGCTTATAAGGACTGGATAACGAGGGACAGACAGGTGCGGGGAATCAATTAATAATCAAACTAAACAAGGACAGGAACAAGACCAAATAAGGCAAAACAGGAACTGAAACACATGACAAAACAGGTCCCATCCTGACATTTCGCCCCCTCCCGGAAGGTGCGTCTTCGCACCGTAGGCAACAATAGAGGGAGGCATAGGTGGGAGCTTGGGAAGAGGATGTACACCCGGGAGGGGGCCGGCAGACAGAGACCAGGGAGGCGACGAAGAAGGGAGGAGACAGGAGGGGCCTGGAGCAGGAGGAGCACAGCAGGACCCAGGCCACAGCCATGATGACGACCCACGGTGGAGCCGACGGAGAAAGGAGCCATGGAGGAGGAATGGCCGCCGACTCCAGGGGGCCGACCAACGGCGGCGGAGCAGGTGGTGGAGGAGCCCAAGGTGGAGACAGAGAGCCAACGAGCCAGGGGGATGCCGAGGATCCGGGGGGCCAGGGTGGATCCGAGGGCTCTGGCGACCGAGGCGGAGATCTGGAGATCCGCGGCGGAGCCGGAGTGACTGAGGACCAAGGTGGAGCTAGCGGGAGGAAGGAGCCCAATGGAGCCGGTGGGACGGAGCGAGGTGCAGCCGGAGGAGCGGAGTCCTGAGGCGATTGCAGGTCGACGCCCGACCAAGGTGGAGCCGGAGGGACGAGGGAGCACGGTGGAGCTTGTGGATCGACGGTGGAGGCGAGGGAGCTAGGAGCCGAGGTGGAGCCGCTGGGTCTACGGGCCGAGGCGGAGTCCGGGCCTCGGAGGCTGGAGG